AACACTAAAATTGTAGTCCATAAATAAACATGGCTAAAAATTCAAAAAACTGACATGTAAGATTTGAAGATATTCCTGAAACAAAATTAATCACAATTAAAGAACAAAAAACTGAAAAAAAGTCTCAGAAGTTTACAGGAAAATGTCATTAAAGATAACCTTATTATGTAATTACAGTTGTATAATTTTGATTGGTCAGAAATTTTGAGAGCATTTTTTAGATCTGTTTGTCACTTTTTTCAGATTTTTGATCATTTTGTAAATATTGTATAAAATTTTAATTCTGATGATGCACAAAGTATGCGAAAGCGTTCGAATTAACATATAAAAAATTCTATGAATAGATGATTAAAGCCAGTTGAATTAAATTTTTCAGATAAGATAAATATTCAATAAATGGACAATGTTTCGAAATTTAGAAGGATTCCGTCAAGAAAAATCAGTAAAATTTTACAGCTGTATGGCTAAAATGTGTATGGCGATATAAGTTCTTCAAAAATGAGAAATTTGCATAGATTTTTAAACTTTTTTTCGTTTTTTTTTACTCTTGCGAAAAGCAAGGGTGTTGGAATCGGGTACTAGACTTTTTTTCCCGTAAATAACTTGTTTACAGGATTCATTTCATCTCCTGTGCTCCTTCATCTTCTGATATGCTGAATTTCTTGAACATTAAAAAAAAACAACTAAATTCAGTAATTTTAAGTTTAAGCCCGTTTCGCGTAATTATTTTTTCAAAAAAATTTCTCCATTTTTTTCGGGTCCGTGGTTTTCGCCCTAGTTTCAGTAGTTTCATTTTCCATTTTTTTGAAACGCAATTTTTTATCTATTAGAGTTTTATTTGCGTATTTTCGAGAGCATATGTTTTGTTCCCGAAACAAAAATAATCACTATTAAAGAACAAAAAAACTGAAAAGTCTCAGAAGTTTACAGAAAAATGTCATTAAAGATAAACTTATTTATTATGTAATTACAGTTGTATAATTTTGATTGTTCAGAAATTTTGAGAGCATTTTTTAGACATATTTGTCACTTTTTGAGATTTTTGATCATTTTGTAAATATTGTATAAAATTTTGATTCTGATGATGCACAAAATGTGCGAAAGCGTTTAAATTAACATTTAAAAAGTTCTATGAATAGATGATTAAGGCCAGCTGAATTAAATTTTTCAGGTAAGATGAATATTCAATAAATGGAAAATGTTTTGAAATTTAGAAGGGTGAAATTTTGTGGCTGTATGGCTAAAATGTGTATGAAGTGTATAAGCGCTTTTAATCAACTTTTTTTTCGATTTTCTTGTTTTTTCACTCTTGCGATGAGCGTTCAATCGGTATCAATTGAAATTCATTTGCTGAAAGTTACGTAAATAGCATTCTCCAAATACGAACGTGGAAAAGGCGCAAAGAAACTTGAACGATTTATCGAAAGTGGAAATTATTTTAGACTTCCAGTGGAATGAAAACTTCAGTGATCCAGTTTTCTTACGATGGGTTAATGTTATCAAAAAGTGCGCCAATCATTTTTGGCATAATTTTGCGATTCTGACCTAATAATTCAATTTTTGTGGTTCAAATAAGTGTTTCTTAGCAAGATCTTGCGTAGTTATAAAGAGGCAGGGCAACTATGGTATTTAGCACAGCGCATCGCAGAGAATACACTACGGGAACCCAAAATTGCAAGACATTTTTGTCAGGCTTTTTAATAAGAAAATCAAAAAGGCAGCTGGAGGTCTCGCCAGCCTTTGTGTTAGAATTGCTATACATGTACATGTAGCCGTTTTAAGCGCATGAGGGTATGATTATTGCCTATTATTTTGAACAGATTTTAGAAGATATTTCCATGTCAACCATCTATATCTATCTATCTATCTATACATTATTTAATTGGAGGTTCATTGGACACATCTTTAAGAAGCCCTTATCTTGACATATAAAAGATTTTTCAACATATTATTTTTTGCATGCTTAACGAAAGAAATTTTGCACGTTTAAGCTTTATCATATATTGTACTGCCTAAGAAATTTCACTTGGCAAATGTTCAAGACTTCACTATTTCAGTCTGTTAAAAGGCCAAAACATTGCAAGGGTTGAAATGCTTAATCAAATCGACGTCTTCCGTTGGAGCGCGAAAGCTTCAACTCTAGCTTTTTCTTTTATTCGCAACGTAAAATTATCAAAATTTTTGTTTCACAATTTAGTTAACTAAATATTAAGTTTTCACTCCTATTGTGGGGTCCTGTCAGGCAACACTCAGGAGTTTCAAATCTGGCGTCCAAATATGACTGCTCAAATCATTTTGGTTATCGTGATATGGCGTTTTTTATGATTTCGTTTTTTTTTTTAAAAACCTACATATAAAAAGAATTAATCGAGCTTGCAATTCTCAACCTTATAGGGGCGTGCTGTCAGCGTACATTGTTAAGAATGCTTGAATTTATGAATGCACTTAGGTATATATGCACTTTTTGAGTTCAATTGGAATTCATTTGCTGAAAGTTGCGTAAATAGCTTTCTCCAAATACGAGAAGGGAAATGGCGCAAAAAACGTGAACGATTTCTAGTTTCGAAAGTGTAATTTATTTTTAGACTTTCAGCGGAATAAAGACTTAAGTGATCTAGTTTTCTCAAGTTGGGTTAAAATTATTCAAAAATGCGCCAATCATAAAGTGTTCTAGAAATTCAAAGAGCTTAAAGGCCATAGGTTTTTTCTTTGAAATTCGAAAGTTGCGTTTTTTTTCAACAAAGTCAGTGTATTTTTTCTGTTTACTTGCGTTCAGTACTCTTTTCCAACTGTCAGTTGGCTGTGTTTCAAGTTGTAAGTAATTAAATTGATTATTTTATTTTAATAGTTATTCCAGCTTGTTAGCGAAAGAACCTTAACACTAGTATCGTATTTTTCAAAAAAGGCACAATTCAGTATTTTTTTCGCATCCGCCTTACATCTTAACCGACCTTGGAGTCGTCAAAAAAAATCACTAATTGATTCGCACCGCCTTCAGTGCCATTTTATTTCACTTTAAAAACAAAGTGTGCAAATAGCAGGTGTAATAATGAAGCATGTTTTTATTTACTTCTCTCGTTAATATTTGGTTTTCTGATGCTTAATTGAGCCGATGAAATTGATCCCAGAAAGTGCAAGAGAAATTGATTTATTTGGACATATTGACTTTTGAATTAATTAAAATTTCAAGAACGCTAGAGGTTATAAAAGGCGTTTTTATTAGAGTTTTATGGAAAAATTAATGATGCGGAATAGAAAAAGGCTTTGGGTAATGATACCAATAAATCTCTGGCTCTGAAAAGCAGATTAAAAATGCCTGAAGAGGTTTTTGAAATCAGGAACCTTATGCTGCCTATAATTTTAACTTAACTCATAGTCAACGACTTCTAAAAGCTTGGAAAAACTTTTGTCTGCTCTTACGGCTGGGAAAATGCCTTTCATCGCAGAAAATCGTTGTCGAAATAGTCCTTGCTCCATTTATTTTACTGTGTTTTGTGGAGCATACTTGTACTTCCATCTCAAAAATTAGGCGCTATCTGCTTTTTTATAGCAGAAAGTTGCTCAGTTTTGCAGAAAAATGTTTGCAGCACATGTAACTTCGATTGTTTTGCATGTAGTTTATCTCTGTAAATTAATATATTGCATGTCATTTTCTCCCGCGAATAATCTTCAGGTTCAAAAGGTCATGCAATCGAGTTGTAGCATATGTGGGGTGATGACTGATTATTGAATTCTAAACGAGTCTTTAAATATGCTTTTGTAAAACTTCTGTTTGCATCTGCACCATAAAATTGATGTTCTTGTGAAGATCTAGGATTTCGCACAAATAGTGTTTTCCTTCCCGCTCAACCCGTGTTTTTTTCTACGATCTTGATCAGTTTTTACTAATTAGCCAATTTGAGCATCTGGTTGCTGCGGTGCCGACCACCTTTTTTGAAAATTTTCTGAGAATTAAGTTGTTGAAATTGAATTTTTTTTTCGTTTTCCAGACCTTTTTTCAGACTGGAAATTTTAGATTGAATTTGCACTCCAACTCTTCTGCGCTTTTTTTTCTTTCTATATTTTATAAGGTGTCACTAATTGCTCATTAACTTTTTCAGTCTCCTCTCACTGGATATTCATAGATATTCGCGCGGTTAGACCATTCTTGCTATTTGCACAGCAACAGGCTATCCTTGTTACAATCGGACTAAATCAACAAAAGTCTATCGTAGTAAAAATTTGAGGCTCTTTTCCAGTCCCCCCCCCCCTTTGATTTTGTCTGAAGATCAATATTTGAAAGTCTATTTAAAATTGCTTTTCATGTTACAAACTGCATCAAAACGTTTCAGCGTGAACAAGTGAACACAAATTTCTACAACATTATTTACATGCAAAATGCCGTGTGAACAATTTTTGAACAGCTTATTTTTGTAATTTTATGAGGGGGGTGGGAAACTGGAAAAGAGCCAAATTTCACATGGCGTAAATGGCCGCTACCTACTGGTTTTTAAAGATATGACCGTGAAAACGGTTGAAAAATGGTAAAGAAAGTAGTTCATTTTGCTGTTCCAAGTAGCATCAAATGTTGACAAATAGAAATGTAAGCTGTTCATTCAAGTGGAATTACACGTCACTCGATAACTTTCTTGAAAATAGGGAAAACTCCAATTGGGAGCTAAAAGATTTTCGACAGAGATGGGATTCGAACCCACGCACGGAGACCGTATTGGATTAGCAGTCCAACGCCTTAACCACTCGGCCACCCTGTCTGGATAATTTGGAGTGATTCTATTTAAAATTGACATTCGAGTCGGTAACTGTTTTGTGTTCAATCTAGTTCAGAAACATAGTTTTGAGTTAACGTAAGTTTTTGTCGTGTTGCTAAAGCAAGATGTTGCATTCAATAAGTTGCCAAGTTGCATATATTTGACTTTTCGGTAAGAACTTCAAAGAGTTAAAATGGTAAAAGCTAATTTAGTGTTCAAAAATTGTTCACGATACCAATTTTAACTGCGCAGTGAAACCTTAAACCTCATTCACAAACGTGAACATTCATCGGTGTTCAAATCTGATTCGATACCGTATTTTGGAATCCTAAACACGACGATATATTTCATATGTCTAACTACAGACGACAACGCTTTGGTTTGGACAATAGAATCCGACACTTTCGAAGTGTCACTCTGCGACCAATGCCAATCGCCGGTGTCATCATTAACTGTTTCACTGGACATTGAAAATTACTCCATGTCATTCTTGCGCGATGATTTCTCCTTGAGATCTCTTGACATCGAATCAGACTCCTGGTCGGAGAACCAAGAGGGTTCAGAGAGGTTCTTGATGTTCCGAAAGCGACATCGGTTCCTCGGAACTTCAGGACTGGTTGTATCAGTTGGTGAATGCAGTGGAACTGTGGATATATGGGATTCGATTAGTCACCGTTTGTGCATGTCGTTGGGCACTAAGTTTGACCTGATTTCGGGAACTTTGAATGATTCTGGCCTAGGCCAGGAGGCACATCAGGGTCTGGTGGACTTGAAGGTTCTGAATGAAAAGTGTCTGATCTTCATCGGCTATAAACATCTACTTGAGGTTCGTGAATATGTTTTGAATAGTTTGAAACAGCTTGAAATTTCCCAATAACCTTTTGAGTTTTCAAAAAATGACCTCTCCCATCAAACTAGATTGGCATCGAATGCTGTTAGGTGGAATGTTTCGTGTTTAGGGCGAAGAATAAGCAGTTTTGAACCCAAAGTTTAAAATATAAAAATAAAGTATAATCACTGCTCAGGGCGGAGTCTACAATTGTTCATTACTTAAATTGAGCATAATTCGAAGAAGGCAAAACTTGGATAAACCTTTTCGAATTTGTTTGCTTAGGTTTGGGAATACAACGAAGAAGCCTTGTTGTTAGACACATCAGATGACGGCGGTGCATCTGACCACCATGCCAGTAGGCCGAAAGTTAGACTGAGTCTGCCATTCGAACTGACTGCAGTCGTCGTATGTTCCGACACTCACTCTGTCTTCGCCCTAATCGACTCAAAAGGAGGCCATCATTTGATGGAATTGTACAATAAACAGCTGACCAATGAAAATGCTGACACTAAAGCGAAGTCGTTCTACTGCTCCAAATTAGAAATTAATTAGGTTATAGTAATAACTGATTGTTGATTAGAAGATAATGTAAATAATATCGTGTATGGAATGAATAAATAAAAAATTCTACTTAATTTGAAATAATTTAGCTATTGCTCTTTTATCACGATTAGGGCGGTTTATCCACAAGGGAAAGGACCAACACAGCAGATGTTCAGCTCTTCACAGAGAACCGCTGTTGTGCCCCTGGTTAAGATCTACAGGCAATTTTTTGCCTATTTATTGTGGGATGGGTAATGTTCCCTAAAGCAACGAGTACGGATCATGGTGGGCCTTGAACAATCTACCTTTCGATTGAGAGGCGGGGCTCAAGCTACCACTTAAGCATTGATCCTCAATTATTATGCTGCAAGTTGAGTAGTTGTGATATGATAAATTGTTCGATAATAGCTGGGTATCTCACGGGATCAGTTATGTTATCATAATTTTAGTGGTAATAGACTGTTTTATTTATCCATTGAATTTCTCGTATGTTGTTTTTACTCGAGTAAGAGCCGCGTCATTAATCTGATGTTTTTTACTCTTGTTTACATAATAAGTCTTTGGTGTGAGAACGACTCTTCTTTTTAATGCGTGATAGATGATAATACCGGCAGTACTGTACCTTCTACGACAAAACACTTCACCTTGCTCCCTTAAAACGAATTCGGGCATTTTGATCAGGAGAGGACTTATGCAGTTTGTCCAAATGATTGAAGTTAACTTCGAATGATTCAAACTTTTATTTGAAGGATTTAAAATTATGGGCGGATTTTACTTGGCGTTGTCTCTTGTTCTCTATTACATGAAAAAATTACCCCATAAAGGAGGGCGACTTATAATTGAGGTCGGCTCATTCGAGAAGTTTCGATAAAGCACTTTATATTCAAATTTTGTTTCAACACCGCAACATGTGTTTCAGTTCAAGTCTGACAATTAGACAAGCTTTTTGTGATAGGGGCGAAATTGGCAGACAAGTTTTTTTGAAATAAATTTTGGCTTAAAGTTGTTCGCTGTTAGTTTTTGAAAATTAATTTGAAGAACAAGGAACTGAAGATGAAAAAAAATCATAATAAATAGCGGACAGACTTCGTTTACTCTTTTAATGATAAGCGTTCAATGAATTTGTTCCGCTTTAGATCTGAAATCTGATTATTAAATTCGTATTAAGTCTTCAGAAGTTGATAAAATGTTTTCTGACATTGAAGTGAAACTGGTTTTTGATGCCGAGCATTTCTCCATTTCTTCTCTGTTCAGCCATGCGCCAAGTGCTTTGGAGTCTAACACACATCGGATTGTGGACTCAAACACATGGGCCGAAATAGGAAAGATCATTTTCACGCCCAAAGAAGCCTCGAGAGAAAAAGAATCTGATTTTGAAAATCTGAAAAGTTCCTTGAAACATTTGTATGCTTCGGTCCATCCGTCACCTACAAAAAGAACCTCAAATGTACCCAAAGCTCCTAAGATTGCAACTGGCTTGAGAAACTCTACCCAAGTTGGTTCAAATGCGAGTCTTATGATTCAACAGTCGTCGGCTAAAATTGACGTCACCTCAATGATGGCGGTAGTTCAACAAATGGGATCGACCGAGAAAAGCTACAAATGCTCTTTTTGTGGCCAGGAAAGTGCGCACGTGACTTCAATGCGAAGACACATTGAAAAGATACATTTGCCAAATTCGACTTCGTTCGACTGTATGAGTTGTGAGTACAAAACGAAGCATAAGTTTGTGCTGAAAAACCACTACATGAACAAACATGGGATGCCGGAACCAGCTGCGTTGGCTATGATGGTCAATTATTAGGTATATGCTTCACAAATCGCTACTCAATAATGATAGCCCTTCACAAATTGTTACTCAAGAATGATAGCTCTGTAGAAATAAATCCTTTTTGAATTTAAATTTTTAGTTATGAATTTTGATTCTGTTGGTTAAAATATTTTTAATCTCATACAGTTTTCGATTTTTAAGTTCGTTTTAATTTTTAATACATCAGAAATTTTACAAGAGTTGTTTGAATTTACTTCGTGGGCATTAGCAAATTAGTTTTTTCGCCATCGTATTGACAGAAATTAGAAAAAAACTTGAAAACAAGGAGTTTTTTGTACGACAAAGTGATTGAACGATGCTGAAAGATGCTTAAGTGATTATTGATGAACGATGGTCTTGTTTGCATGGTGTCAGAATGTGAGGTTTAAATACATTACAACAATGGAAGTTATCTTTGTTGGCAATAGCGTGACGATCAAGAAGACCAACTGAGTGTTTTTTAGATTGAAATCTGTCTTTTGATTGAAATCTGAAAGGATGATTAAGACACGAAGGGATTTTTTTTTTTGGGGGGGGGGGGTATAGGTCTTCCCTTTTTTGGCTGACCCACTTTTAATTTACTAAAAGTTATTACTGAATTTTTGGCTAAGGTCTCCGCTTTTCTGAGCATTTTGAGTTTTCTTCTTTCTTGATAGCTGCTGATATACTATGACAGCTATATTCTAACCCTAATACTCGGTGCTTAAAACTTTAATTAAGAATGACCGAATAACGCCAACTTAGAGATGTTTGACGCAATAGCGCTTTTTTCCACCCGAATTTAAAGCTCTGCAAGAAGTGCTCAACTTCAGTATCTATGAACTGTTCTTTTTCTAATTAAGAGTACTGAACGTAGTGAAAGTCAACTTTTTCTCAATTTAAATCTTGATTTATTTTTAAGTTCATTTCATTTGTTAAAAGAAAGGCAAACTCCACTATCGAGCAGCAAAAGTGTAAAGGTCACGAAAAACGTGATGGACTTCTTGTTTCGACTATGGAATTTAATTATCAGATTTCCGGGCGAAATAAAAATTTTACCTGTTGCTCCATTTTTCTCAAATTGGCTTAGTTTTATCAAAAATAAAGCAATCACTAGTTGTCTGTGAATTCAACGAGCTTCAAGGGCATATATTTTTTCTTAAAAATTCGAAAAGTTGAAGCTTTTTCAATCAAAATTAAGTCAGTATTTTTTCCATTTCCTTGCGTTCATTAACCTCTTCCAACTGTCAGTTGGTTATGTTTTATGCCAATTGAATGGCTTGGTTTAATTTGCTCATAAGTGCTTGGCGAATACACTAGAATCAATGTTTGGAGGTCGTCGATCAGAATCAGGACAATTTTTGTATTTCACAAAGTTCATGTACTTTAATTGCTTAATAGTTTTGCTTGCAATTTTGAAGCTCTTTTTGCCTCTTATTTTGCTTGTGTTTGCAAAGTACAGCCTTGTCTGTGTTGAAAAATTAAAGGAAAAATTAATTGCTTTTAGAAAATTAACAAATTTAAAAAATTAGCCAATTGTTTTTCACACAATGATAGCGTAATCAATGGGTTTTGCTCCAATGTGAAGAATTTTTGCTGGTACCTAAAGCTTACACTTTTTCTACAGATTTCAGATCATAACTCTAATGCGATACATGCTCATTTGTTTTGTTCAAGTTTTTTTTCAAGAAAAAAAACATTAAGCAAAAATAATCTATCTAAAGGCATCAGTAAAGATAGCTAGCTTAAACGATGAAGCATATGCTTAAGTTGTGGCGTTATTTTATAGAACACAGTCAAATTCAAATTGATTAATGGCTGCTTTTGCTTTATTTTGAAACTTGGATTATCTTTTATTGTCCGCGTAGGCTGAATTATGAAATGACTTAATTGTTTTTTTTTTTAGCTAAACCTCAAGTTCAGTTCCAACGATAAAATTAACCAAATTACCGCACAACAAAAAGCAGATTCTCATTTTGCCGTTCTCCATTTATCTCAATGATAGCGACCAGCAATGTTGCACACCTCAGGCGTTTTTTTTTTAATAATTTTTTGACAATTTTGGGCTTTGCAGAAAAAAAAGAACAGAGAAAACCTCAATTGTGATTGAAGTTTATAAATTTACGTGTTGCAGATAAGTTTAGCAAACAAATTGAAAAAAGGTTCATTTTGAGGTTCAGTTGCACTTTTCCACTTTTGTTTTTTTAAGCATTTTTAAGTGCCATTGAACGCAGTGCAGACTCATTTGTAGGTCGAGTTAGTTACTACTTGTTTTTCCACGATAAAGTCCTTAGAAATGTTCACACTCAAAAAAAGCGATGCTTATAATTTACTAACTTTTTAAAAGAAACGAGATTGTTATTGTACCTAGTTTTCGAACTCGCACTTTGAAATACAAATTCCTGCCTAGAAATTTGTGACTTAAATCTTACGAAACATAGTTTTATAACTATATTGTAACAAGACTGCTCGTATCAGGGCGGAGCCCTGAATGTTCCGACTGCTCATTAAGGTTTATGGAGCAGTAATATCATTAAAAAATTAAAAGTAATAAAACAAAATGAAAATTTTTTTTTCAAAAATTTTTAATTTTTTTTAAATCATCCCCCCACACGCCATATAAAGTACAAAAGGATAGATTTCGCTACTTGTATTAAATCAATTATGGCAAATAAGCTTCGTTAAACCAATTTGGAACGATTTCTAAGACGGATTAACTCTCCGCTTACGCGTTAATAGCGCGAAATATATCGCGCGTTAATTGTCCCAAATTGGCCAAAATGGCAATCTTTAAACCCCCATAACTTTACAGAAAATAATCACAGGTGAAATATCTTTTCAAATTTAAGCTCAGGACAAAAATACCTTTCGAATGATATAAAAAAATCCGTCAAAATGGCTAGGTAAAAAGTTGAAATTTGTCTGTTGAATCCATTGAATTTCTCGTATGTTGTTTTTACTCGAGTAAGAGCCGCGTCATTAATCTGATGTTTTTTACTCTTGTTTACATAATAAGTCTTTGGTGTGAGAACGACTCTTCTTTTTAATGCGTGATAGATGATAATACCGGCAGTACTGTACCTTCTACGACAAAACACTTCACCTTGCTCCCTTAAAACGAATTCGGGCATTTTGATCAGGAGAGGACTTATGCAGTTTGTCCAAATGATTGAAGTTAACTTCGAATGATTCAAACTTTTATTTGAAGGATTTAAAATTATGGGCGGATTTTACTTGGCGTTGTCTCTTGTTCTCTATTACATGAAAAAATTACCCCATAAAGGAGGGCGACTTATAATTGAGGTCGGCTCATTCGAGAAGTTTCGATAAAGCACTTTATATTCAAATTTTGTTTCAACACCGCAACATGTGTTTCAGTTCAAGTCTGACAATTAGACAAGCTTTTTGTGATAGGGGCGAAATTGGCAGACAAGTTTTTTTGAAATAAATTTTGGCTTAAAGTTGTTCGCTGTTAGTTTTTGAAA